CCCCGTCCCCGTCCCACGTTGTCACCAGCCTGATGTTTGCTTGTCTATTGTCTGTAACACCCCGGCTCCCCGCGACACAGTCCAGTCAGGCAGGCCCGGGCCGCAGCTGCCACTGAGTAGCCTCCCCAGATCCAGGATGATGCCTGATGCGGCCGCTCTTGTAGCAAAAGAGAAACCTGCTTTTTCTTACTGAGAAAATGGTGAAAAATAGAAAGCATCTTTTATACCACCGTCGGAGGTGAACCTTAACATTTCTGTGTCACTTCCCATGGATAAATACAGTATGCATTTATTCTCCAAAAAGATCCTGCTCAGCAAACTTTAGTAACCTTATCCTTACACGTTAGGAATTTTTTATTTTTTATAATCGTTCTGCGTCCCCATTATCAACCCTCGTCTGGGGTTGTAAACCTGTGGTGTGCCGAAGTGTGTGTCTGTGTTTCTCCGCGTGTGCTTGAAAACACACAGAGAAGTGCTAGGTACGTTTCGTCATTTGCTCCAGCGAGTCCCGGCCCACTGAAGAGGTTAAGAATCGCGGATACACCTCGGCTTTTCCAAAGGCTGCCGTACAAGCCCGTGCGCGGACCTCCAGGTCTCCGGGTGCATTTATATGAGCCCCCACCATCGCACTCAAACTTGCTCCTGGTGCCCCCTCTCTCGGTTGAGACTTCCCAGCGTCCCTTCCCGGCCGGGTCACCTCGCCGGTGCGGGCAGGTCCGCTCCCTGATCCCCGGGCCGCCCGCCGGCCCCGCGCGTCACTGCGCATCTGCTCGCGGGGCAGGCCCGGTTTCCGGGCGCCGTTGCTGCTCCCGCGTGGAGGCCCCGGGAGGAGGCTATTTTTATCCTCTGGGGAGGGCGGGGAAAGAGAGCGACTGATGAGGCGGGAAGTCCTGGAACTTTATTTCCCCCCTCTCTCGGGAGAGCGATGGATTCCATTTAGAGATAGGCTAGCCTCGATTTGTGAAGCTTCAGCTCCGGAGTTGTGTCCATCATCCTACAGGAGGAGGCTGAGAAGAAGGTGAGAGCTGAGGAAACGTGCTCCACCAGAGAACGGCAAAAAACCACAAAGGTCAGCAAAAAGCCTTATGTTGGGGCAGCCGCTGCTACCTATTAGGGGACCAGCGCTCTGTCAGGAAGAGCTTGGGGCTGGAAATGTGCTGTGTGAACAGGGCTCTCAAGGATCGCATATTCCCCGCATTTTTCCAAAATGGCGCACAGTCCCCAAGTGAAGAAGTTCCTGTCTTCAAGGCAATCTCCTGGTATCAGTGACTTCTTGACGTAGCCTGTGATGTAAACACAGCAGAGCGGTCAGTCAGGCCTGGCTGGGCTGTGGTACTTGTTAATGGTGTGACCTTGGGAAAATTAAACCCCAAGATTCATAAAATAGGGGTGATAATGCCAGACTCACAGGGCTTTCACAGGAATTAATTGGAGAAGATGTGAGTAAAACGCCCAGGCGTAGTGTCACACCCATTGTCATTGTTATTATAATGAATCCCTTCCCTATAATGACCATTTCCTGAAAAGTTTAATCACCACTTACCTCCAAACCATTCAAACCAGAGATGCTCAAGAACTTCATTCAGTACAGCACCATGCCTGGCCCAGAGCTGAGCTCAGTGCCTCATGCTTGGCACAGGGACACAAGGGTAAGCAAGGTGCTCTCTTGAGGAAGTATGATAAACACATGTTCATTGCACATTTTCATCAGTGTTGTGAAGAAAAAGTTGGTAGTTCTCAAAGTATGGTTCCCAGACCAGCAGTACTATCACCGGGCAACTTGTAGAAATGCAAATTCCTTGGTCCCACCCCAGACTAATAAAAGTACCAACCTCAGCGGGTAGAAACACCGAGAAGTGGTACATTCATTTTATTATTTGTTCTAAAGAGTCCCTGTCTCCCAAAGAGTATCACAGGCTCTCCAGGTGATGCTGGCCACTCTGTCAAGAAAATCTTAACTCTACTAGCTCTCCTTTGGACTGTTGTAGTTGCTGCCTCACTGGCCTCCCTGCTTTCCCCTTATTCCTTTACTCATTTAGTCTGTTCTCAACATAGCAACCAGAACTATCCTATAATACACAACCAAATCATGTTGCTACTTTGGCTCTTAGACTGCTAATGGCTCCCTGATTCATCTAGAATAAAAGGCTAAGTCCTTACAAGCTATCAAGGCAGTTCTCATTCTCCATCTTCCTCCCTTCCCTTCTGATCTTATCTCTGACTTTCCCTCCCACAAAGACTTCTTGTTGTACAACACACCAGACACAATCCTACTTCAGGGCCTTTGCCCTGCTGCTCCTTGGACCTGGAATACTCTTCCTTCTGACTTTCACTTGGCTTCATCTCTTACCTCTTCAAGTCTATATTCAGATGTTAACTTCTAAATAATAAAATTGTGAACGTCGCAGCACTTTAACTCCCCAGAGAACAAACCAATTCCCAGTCTCTCGTGTCTCTACAGGGTACTTGGTCTCACACAAAGTTCATCATACAATCCCATCCCATCCCTTGAGAAGGAATCATCTGCCCCCCCCCACCGCCCCCCACACCAAAGTGTGGGCGTAAACTTTTGAAATGTCCCAATAAGTCTCGGTAAAAATGCTGGGAAGCCCTGACCTCAGCCTCCTGAGGTTTCTCTGCCTAGAGGAAATGAAAACTGCAATCATCACCATACTCTACACACTGCCTCGTTCTTGGTTTTGCTTGTCACTGTGGTTGACCTTATTCTACTCTAGGACACAAAGTTCAGAGGCCTGGAAAACACTATCAAGGCTTCTTTCACTATTCCTAAAAAAGGCTAGCCTTGGGTTTAAGATTCAGCAGGGTGGGTGAATGGGAGGCGTGGGCCACCCTGCATGGGGCAGTGCTGGGATGAGGCCTCCCAGATAATGGAAATGACTGGGGTGTTCCATACATGGAGTCTGATGCTCCACTCAGAGTCCCAGCTTATGTCCAAGAGAATAGATGCCTGCCCACAGAGCCCTGAGAACAATTCCTCACCCCGGCCTTGAGTTCACTTAGCTAGGGGAGGGCTCTAGAAAGGGGTGGCTCTAAGTTTTAAAAACATCCCCTTTCTTTTCAAGGAGCATTTGGGAATGCTGGTCTGTCTACTTTAGAGCAGTTTACTTTTTAAACGTTCTCCATCCACAGCAATATATTAACCCATTGTGTTGTGAAAGACTCAAGCGTCACAGAAGTACGCTAAGATAACATCCTCCTTGATACAAATCATCATCTCTTTCTTCCCAGTTTGGTGTATGTTCTTATAGCCCTTTCTCTCGATATTTACACACACGCACACACACACACGTATCTGTATATGTGTTTAGACATGCAACTGTGTGTTTATGCGTACTTTCAGTTTTATAGAAATGAAATTGTACAGGGCGCCTGGGTGGCTCAGTCGTTAAGTGTCTGCCTTCGGCTCAGGTCATGATCCCAGGGCCCTGGGATCGAGTCCCACATCGGGCTCCCTGCTCTGTGGGAAGCCTGCTTCTCCCTCTCCCACTCCCCCTGCTTGTGTTCCTGCTCTCACTGTGTCTCTCTGTCAAATAAATAAATAAAATCTTTAAAAAAATTAAAAAAAAAAGAAATGAAATTGTACGAAAGGTAATGGTCTGCATGATTTGGTATTTTCACTGATCAAAATAAATTGAGATCTTAAGGATGCTTGCATGACAGAGCATACAGAGGTATATCCATGGTATTCTTTTGGTTGGGATGGACCATGATAGATTTCATGGTTCTGGTGATAGACTACACATCCTTGCACATGCATCTTTATACATATTATATATGTTAAAAGGGTAGATTCTCAGAAGTGGAATTGCTGAATCAAAGGGAGTTACTTTATAATGTTGATAGATTCTTGAATTGCCCTCCTAAAGACCAATATACGTTTCTGCAGCTAGTCCTAGTTCTTTACCTGGTGGGGGTGACCCAAATCTTCTTTCCTAAAGAGTCTGGCCATTACTGATCCAATCTGGATTGAATTGTCATAGTTTGCCATTAACCTTAATCACAGGGCATGATAAACTAAGAGACCCCCCTAAGGGATCTCATGTATTCCAGACATACTCTTCCTTACCTGTCTTCTGGTTTCCATTATTTCCATCAGAAAGTCAGTTGTAAGTCTAACTGCCACTTTGACACATTATCTGTCTATTCTCTATAGTTGTTTTAAGTTGTTGTTGTTTTTTTTATGGTGTTCTGCAGTTTAATTAGGATATATATGACTGTGGCTATCTTTCCATTTACTTTGCTTGAAATTTATTGAGATTCCTGGATCTGGTGTCTTTTGAAAATTCCAGGAAATTCTCAGTTCCATTTCCTTTATCATTAATAGTTAGTTAGATGGATAGATAAATATGCATTTTTCTGAACCATTTGAGAATAGATTGGAGACATAATGCCCCCTTCCCCCAAATGCTTCACTGTACATTTTCTAAGAAAAAGGACTCTCTCTTTCATAACCACAGTGCAATTTTCAAAATATAGACATTTCACATTGATACGATACTATTTTCCAATCGATGGTCCATGTTCAAATATCATCAGTTGTCTCAAAAAAGTCTTTTAACTGTTTATTCCTGGTCCAGGATCCAATCCAGAATCAGACTTTGCATTTATTTGTCATATCTTTTTAGGTAGTTATGCATTTTTGATAGGAATATCACTGAAATGATATATTCTCCGTATATCATATCAGAAGGCACATGATGTTGGGGCACCTGGGTAGTGTGGTTGGTTAAGCATCTGACTCTTGATTTCAGCTCAGGTCCTGATCTCAGGGGCATGATCTCAGGGTCGTGAGATTGAGCCCTGCGTTGGGCTCTACGCTCAGCATGGAGTCTGCTTAAGACTCTCTCTCTCTCCCTCTCCCTCTGCGCCTCCTCCCCATGCTCTCTCTCTCTCAAATAAATAAATAAAATCTTAAAAAAAAAAAGAAGAAGAAGAAGAAGAAGGCCCATGATGTCACTCTGGCCCATTACTGGTGATAATATCTTTGACCACTTGGTTAATGTGTTGTCTTATACCTTTCCTTGCTAGTAGTAAATATATAGTATTTAGTAAATAGTAATAGTAGAAAAATAGTAAAGTTACTATTTTTCCCTTTGTGATTAATAAGAAATTTGGGGGGAGATACTTTGAGATTATGTAATTTTGTAAATTATGTAAATTTCTGGTTCCTCCTCAAGCTTTTTTTTTTTAGACAGCATGGTAACTATGTTTTTTTTTATTAACATATAATGTATTATTTGTTTCAGGGGTACAGGTCTGTGATTCATCAGTCTTACACAATTCACAGTGCTCACCATAGCACATACCCTCCCCAATGTCCATCACCCAACCACCCCATCCTTCCCATCCCCCACCACTCCAGCAACCCTCAGTTTGTTTCCTAAGATTAAGAGTCTCTTATGGTTTGTCTCCCTCTCTGGTTTCGTCTTGTTTCATTTCCCCCTCTTCCCCTATGATCCTCTGCCTTGTTTCTCAAATTCTTCATATCAGTGAGATCATATGATAATTGTCTTTCTCTGATTGACTTATTTCACTTAGCATAATACCCTCTAGTTCCATCCATGTCATTGCAAATGGCAAGATTTCATTTTTTGATAACTGCATAATAAATATTCCATTGTATATATAAATACCACATCTTCTTTATCCCCTCCTCAAACTTTTGTCCACTAGTTTGATCACCCACTGATGATTTTCTAACTTAACTATTCCTTTCATATTTATCTGGCATTTAACTTAAGAGAG